GAGTTCCGGAGGCCTGAAGCCTCTGGGCTCTTCCCCACACACATGTGAACCAGTGCACACGGCCGCTTTCAGACTCTCCCTAATGGGCTTCCCAATGGCTGAGCGTGTGGAGGGAGGGAGAAGGCCGTGCCGTCCCCCTACTCCGAGAGACCAGGAGCTCTCCTAGACTCAGGCCAGGCCGTCAGAGTGGGGCTCGGGCCAGGCGTGGCGGCCCTGCTGTGGCAACGCAGTCCGGACCAAGGGCTCCCCGAGAGGGCCCACGCAGGCTGCTCTAGGGCCCCGCTCTCCCCCTGCACCGGGAGCACCTGGCCTTCTGCGCTGGATCTGGACCTGGATCCTAGACTCTTGCCCAGAAGCTCAAGAGCACTTGTTCTTTTCCGGGCTGCTGGCTGAGAAGTTCAAAGCCAAATTTGGATCCCTCTCCAGCCCTCCTACGTGACTCTGGCCTTCTCTTACTTTCTCACCTTTCCTTTCGGCCCAATTCCTTGGATCTATTTAATCCTCTGGCATTGCGTGCGTTTTGGAGGGCAGCTCCAACCCTTTCTAGAGAGAAGCAAGATAAATACACGAAAGGCTCATCATCTCTAGTAATCACTCGGGGAGTCACAATCCACGGCATGTGAGGGGGTGCCGGCCTGTGTGAGGGGCGCCCAGCCCAAAAGACGGGCTGACCTGAAGGAGGCACAGACACGTTCCCAGGAGCAGAGCTGAGCCACCCCACAGGAAGCTGCTACAACAGCCAAAGGCGTCACCCAGACAATGGACCCATCAGGACAGCCTGAGACCTGGCCGCAGGTGGTATCGGGGACCTAGGACAAAGTACACGACCGCCCACTCTGGCTCTGGGTTCTCGGGTGGGTTCCAATTCATGTAGGGAATCAGAGGCCAAAGAGCATTTCTATTCTGTCTTCCTTGTTGCTTTCTCCTTTCTCTAAGAACGGGAACGCTGGCAGCTGGTCTCCCGCCCAGGAATCCACAGTGCCCAGCACCACAGGACACGCTCCTGCTGCAGCAAGGCAAGTGTGGCTCTGGCTCTGGGGGCTGCCAGGCTGGGCACTCCTTCCTTCCTGGGCCGGCCTCCATCTGCAGAGGCCAACCCAGGAGAGCGAGCAGGCAAGCGGGAGGCCTGCCCAGACTGGACTGTGCGCATCAGAGAACAGCGGCAATCCTATATTCAAGTCTCCACCTGGACTCAGGGATCATTCTCCTATCTGCCCCCCTTCTCCCTAGGCCACCATCCCAAGATCTTCTGCAATTTCTCCACAGTCTGCTGAACGTCATAACCAGCTCCACATAACATAGGAGGGGGAACAGAGCCAGAGTGGGCCATGGGGGGTGGGGTGGGTAACAGGCAGGTGTCTCCCAGCCTGCTCGACCCAAGCCAGCTGCCCTGTCTGTGTGGTCTCTGGCAAACCCTGACCTCTCAGCCCAAAAGGCCTTCCCCCTGGGCCCCACAGCCTCCCCTTCACACAGCAGTCCTGAGCACCAGCTACCTATCAAAATCACATAGGCGGGGCTCCCGGGTGGCTCAGTGGGTTAAGCCTCTGCCTTCAGCTCAGGTCATGGTCTCGGGGTCTCGGAGCCCCGCATCTGGCTCTCTGCTTGGTGGGGAGGCTGCTTGCCCCCCCTCTCTCTGCCTGCCTCTCTGCGTACTTGTGATCTCTCTCTCTCTCTCTCTCTCTCTGTCAAATAAATAAATAAATAAATCTTAAAAAAAAAAAAAAATCACACAGGCGGCCATCACAGGCAAGCCCCAGACCCAGCCCTGGGTGGGGAGGGCAGCTGGGGCTCCAGGGAATACAGGAACAGGAAGGAAACATGAACGCCAGGTGAGGCCAAAGAGCTGAAGCCCTCTCCAGCCCCGAATTCTCCCGCAGGCCCTAGACTTCTCAGACCTTCTCCACACCTCCACCTGCATGTCCAGTAGCACTCTGACATGTCCAGAACATCACCCCAATGCCATTCAACCTGCTCCACTCACAGCCACCATCTCCCACTGGCTCAGCTAGCAGTCCTCTACTGCTCCCTCCCCTATCCCGTCCTCCAGCAAGCCTGTCAGCTCCTCTTTAAGAGGTCCACAGCCCTGCCATCACCCACCTGGATCAGGGGGTAGTTTCCCCACCCAACACACAGCCGGAGGAGAAAACACAGTGAGAGAAAGTAGAAAGCTCTAGAGCAATCTGACATTGCTACAACATCCAATCACTGATACGAAGTATCGGGCTGAGCCCATCCAGAATTGGAAGAGCTGTTCCCTACCAGAGACAGTTTGAGAAGCTACCCTCTACCTTCCCCGACCCCACACTCTGTCATACCCCTGCCCTGACCTCACCGGCCACTCTGCCTCACTCAGCTCCCAGCACCTGGGGCCGCCTTCCTGGTCTGCAAACACCCCTGAACACACCCACCCCAGGCCCTTTGCACTGCCTAGAATGCTCTTCCAAACCTTCACACAGCACACTTCTCATCCCCCTTCAGCCTTTGCTCCAACATCACTTTCTCAACGAGGCTTATTCTGACACCGTCCTTAACACTGCAGACCACCTTCCCTCCTCCCCAGGCTCGACTGGGTCATTTGTTTTTTGTGGGCTGCTTCCCAGAGCACTCGTCCTAGAACGTGCTGGATCACGTCTTAGGTTTATTTTGTCTCTTCGAGGAGGGGCAGACGGCTCTGTGCTTAGGCATACAATAGGAACTCAATACACACTTGTTGAGTGAACGCGGGAACTTGGGAGCCAGAGCGCAGCCAGGGCGGGCCGCACAGACGCGATCCTGGGAGCCGCCCTCCGGGCAGACCTCAGCACATCTAAGCCATCAGAGGCCAGCCAAGGACCATGAGGGGCATTGTCTGCCATGTCAAAGACTGCACTGGTTCCTGGGAGAGCCTGGAATCTAGAGGAGCTCTCCAGGCAGACACGGATGGGGGAGGCTAACAGCAAAGAAACCAATCAAGGAAAGTGGACACTGAATTGAGGTTATGGGACAAGAGATGAAGGGACAGAATTCGAGAGGTTTCCAAGGTCAGATCTACAGATGTCTGTGGGAGGTAAGTGGGAGGGAGGAGGTACGGGGAGATCAGATGGACAGGATACATGAAAGGAAGGTCCCCTCAAACATCATTATGATTTCTGTGGGTCAGAGCGGCAGCCAAGGTGAGAGGAGGCTCCCCACAGTGCCTGCTCTCCCACGAAGGGCCTTTCTCAGCTATCTGCCCTCTTCCTCATGCCAAGTCTGCACCAGTACCCACCAGGCCTCCCCTGCAGGGTCTGGGACCCCAAGGGTGCCCCCCAATTCGTCTCCCCTACATTGCGGTCTGCATTTCAGGAGACCACTTCCCGAACAGCCAGCATCCACCTGACTCCCCCACTGCTGCCTTCCAAGCCGGTATGTCTGAAGGAAATGGCCGTTGTGCGTACCATCGGCACTTACTTTCCACTGAACGCCTGGCTGGGGGGCAAGGAAGAACAGATAGCCGTCACCAGCCAGGGTCCTGCCCCCCGCCACAGCCTCGGGGACCGGCAGCGTGTGAGATATGGAGAGGGGCCCACGCATTGACCAGGTAAAGGATGAAACGGTGACACTGTGTAACACTCCGCCCGAAACTCTCCTGGGACCTGAGAAACTGTCAACCAAGACCTACTGGTTTTGATCCTTCGTTTCTGCCAGAACCAAAGGAGGAGAGACCGATGGAAGAGAAGCAGACAGGACCGAGGCCCGCCCGGTGACACAGGGCGTGGGCCTTCCCAGCCACAGCGGGAGGGACGGCACAGAGGCCGAGGCAGGTCTGCCTGAGGTTAATACACAAGCATCCCAGGAAAGCCAACCTGCTGCCGGTGAACCCAAGACTCGAAATAGACCTTCCCAGTTACTGACTCAACCCCGGAGTCCTGGGGAACCCTGGCAGCCTGCCCAAAACAGCCCACAGAGACCTGGGGGAAGAAACAGTGTGTACCTGAAAGGCCTCTGCGTGAGCCTTCAGACTGACTTGTGACCGTCTGCACTCTCTGTGGTGCAAGGCTGGTCCTCCCTACAAATTCATGCATAAAACAGTGAGGGGAAGACAGGAGCGCAAAGGAAAACACCCCAGAGCTAAACCCAGTGATCACCCGCATACCCAAGTCAAACGAGCTGTAATATTAACGAGGCATGAATGAACCGTAACTGTCTCCAGGGCTGAATAAAGGCTGGCCACCTTATCGGGGAAGTCACACAAAGGCTCCTCGTCCGTGCCCCTTCTTGCAGGAGCAGAAGAGAACAGACAGCTTTCTTCTCTATAGCCAGGCCCCACCTGGGGGCTGGAGTGGACTAGGAACGTTTTCTTATAGGCAACAGGAAAAGAAATCTGTTTTTACTTTAACCTGCAACAGTTGTAGACTCTGACCACCATACATTATTAATTAGTCAAAAGAGAAGCCCCACTTTTAGTTACCCATTGAATTAGGTTATCTTCACTGTGACCTAGAATTGACAGTACAGCTAACTCTCTGTTTACCACGGTAATGGGGATTTCTGGAAGGATGGCAGTTAATTGAGAAGCGAGAACAATCCCATTTTGTCCTCATCAAGGCACGTTATCACTGCATCAAGGACGATGGCTTCCAGCGACTGTCCACCGAGGGCCTCGGCTTTGCCCGGCGTTGTTAGATTTCAACCTCGCTTTTCTGGCTCAACAAGCCAAGTGGTGTCCGGCCCCCACCACACCTGGGCCTGGCCCACAGCAGAGCCCCCTCCAATTTTTCTGGGCGTGGGGACACAGGGAAAAGCGAGGGCAATCACCCCGTGCCTTAGCCAAATGACAGCAGAAGTTATACCAAGTGACAAAGACGGTCAGAGGGGAGCGCCTAGGGAGAAAGGAAGACGGGGCCCTGGGTCCGCGGGAAGCTGGATGGAGAGGCCCAGGAGGAGACAGGGAGAGAGTTGGCTGTACTGGACCCAATAAGCACACCCCCAGCAAGCTGCCCAGCATTTCTAGGAAGGAGAAAAGCAAACCGCCGTCCCACCTCGGGCTGCGCGGTCACAAGTGAGGCAGGGCTGGGACCAGTCGCCATTTGGGCGGGCGGCCAGCCCCAGGTGCGGCAGGAAGGGGTGGCGCTGGCTCAGCGGCTGCAGCTCCTCGCTCTGACCCAGCGGGGCCCCTGCGCGGTGCTGGGGACACAGCGAGGCCTCGGGCGCTGTCGGGCAGGGACACACACACACATACACACAGAGAGAGACACGCCATTAGAGGGAGTGGGAGCGGCAGAGTGTGGGCTAGGGCCGAAGCCCCACGCGCTCAGGGGTGGCCAACAGCCTGCTAACCACATTCTGACCCTGAACATGCAGCTCAAGCTCAAGGTCTGAGGGAACCGGAAACTGTGAGAGCTGGGACCGTGGCAGCAGCCGTCAGCCCAGCAGAAGGCCGGCAGGACCTGTGACTGGAGCCCGATACGGATCCTGCACCTGGACTGTCCCACAAGCTATCAATGAATGGGATGCTGTCTCAGCTCCTGCTTTATATCCTCTGGCTTCTCGAGAAAAGTGACCACAAAAGCGATGTGGAGAACAGAGCAGCTGCCCATGGTGGGACAGCGCAGACGCAGTCACTTCCCAAAGAGGCAGCTTGAGACCGACTCAACCCACAGCGGGCCTTTCTGGGGCACGGAGAGGCTACATGAGAGAAACAACTTCCCTCCTCATAGGGCAATCTTCATTCTGGGGGGCAACCTGGCCCTGGCGGAGAGGCAGGTCACAGTTCATATCAGGCAGTTTCCCGAAGGTCACAATCTTTGCTTCAACAGAGCAGTTCAAACTAAGAGGGAAACAACAGTAACTAGAAACAGGACAAGAAAAATGCTAACCTCTCTGAGCCTTTCATAAGAATTTGGAATTCCTAGAGGCAGGAAGTCTGCCTTGGGGATGCAAATCTCCCAGCTGCCACATCTCTCGAAATGCTGCTGGTGGCAGTAGGGTGTCACACGGAAGCCCGCAAGCAGGAAACGCTAGTAGGTGGCCTGGTCACAGAGTCACCAACTAAACAAGGGCCAAGGGGAGTCTGTCAGGCGACAAACAACTTCCTTAAAACGAGAAAAAAATGTGCTGTTATGGCGACACGGTGTTACTGATTCCAGAAAGAATGGTGGTATGGGGGCCTTCTGTTGTTTCAGCCAGAAAGACACAGTGTGTGTGCCACCCTCGCACAGGCCACCTGTCTTGACACTGCCCTGGGACAGCAGAGGGGCGCCCGTTCCCAGGACCACTTTTTGTGAATGCCCAGGACGCCCACACGGCTCACAGAGACCAGCTTCCGTCAGGCCCTGAACTCCACATCTCTTCCCTGAAATCTTGTTCGAATGTGGGGTAAGGACCCCTCAGATTCCCACATGCACAAATGAGCAAACAGAGCGGCCCCACCCAGAGCAGCCCCAGCCATGCAAGCAAATCACCAAGAACGCTCAACCCCATGTCGGAGGAGAAGGCCTTGCTCACACGGACCCCTGTGGAGCTTTCTGCCTTCTCCCTCTTTGACTGAGACACAGACCTCCCATTTCCCTCCCCTGGGATGCTGAAGGAGAGTGATGCCCTGGGCCAGTCGGGAGACCCACAGCCCAGGAATCAGAACAACATTTAACAGATTAAAGAAACAAGGTTATCAAGAAGGAGCATCCATTTCCTCCTACCTACAAATCACCGGGCTCCAGCCCTGCCCAGGGGTCCTGAATCGGACCACAGTGCAGCGGAAGGTCTTGAGACTCCTGAGCCAGAGCAGCTGAGGGACCCAACACCCTCCTGCAACCATAAATGGGTGCAGACCACCGACTCTGTTGTCAGGACAGCCAAAAGCGGAGAACGGAGGACAGATGCGAGCTCTGGCTTAGCCCAGGGGCACCCACCCTGCCCACCGCCCAGCGCTTCCGTGTCTGTGCCCGGCACCCTCTGGCAAGGATGGGGGAGCGTTTCCATTACTCACAGCCGTGGTAGGAGGCTGGAGACCCCCCGGCCTTGCCGTACTCCTGCTCCGAGTAGCTGGTGGACAGGTTGGGCTGGCTGGAGCCGCGGCCGAAGGTGATCTGGTTGCTGCCCATGCCCGTGGCGACCTGGGCCATGCGCTCTTTGGTTTTGAGAGCCTGGGCCCTCTCAGCCTTCAGCCGCTCCTCGTCCTTGAGGAGGCCCACCAGCTGCTTGGACTTCTCACGCACGTTGATGCCCTGGTCCTTGCCGTCACGGTCGATGTACTGGAAGTCCTTCAGGGTCTGGATGGCGAAGATGTTCTCCCGGCACTGCTGGGCCACCCGCTCGGAGCCCGTCTTGATGAGGTAGTCCAGCAGCGTCAGCGCCTTGTACACGTGCCGCCAGTTCTTGCCGTGGTCGTTGAGGCGCTTCCACACCATGCTCATGATCTCCGAGAAGGCCACCACGTTGTAGGTCAGGTCGGCGATCTCGGTCATCAGGGAGCTGGACGGGCCCCACGGGTCGTTGGAGGTGGCTTCCCGCACTTTGATTTCAGCTTCCGAGTAATTGTTCACAATGTTTTTCATTTGCCGTCTGATAGAGGAAGTCGCCATTTTCACGTTTCTTTGTGACAAATGTCAAGCCCTTCAAAGAGAGAGACGCTCCTGTACTGGGCAAGTTCGTGCCCTGCGAAGGTTCAGTCTCCGTGACAGGCGTGAAGCACGAGCCTGGGCAGTCATTTCCTCCACTGAAGCCTCAGGTCCGAGGAGCCAGAAGCCATGACCTAGAGAAAGAAAGAAAGAAACACTCCCTGTAGCACAAGCTCCCCAGGGACAGGAGGAGGCTTGGCTCAGCCCTTTCTGTAAAAGGCAGGTACAGAGGTCTGGCAGGATCAGGGGCGCGGGGATGAGTGGATACGCCCCAGCCTCCAGAGGAGGAGAGATCCACCTTTTCCAAAATTACAACAAAATCAATTATTACAAGTTAACAGTGAATAAAATCTAAACTTGAGGTCAAGCCTTTGGCAGACAAGTAAACGTTTCAACCGTTGTTCTAATTTTCAAAACACTTCCACTGGCACAGCTCTGCTCTGGGTTGTATTTTCACGTGCGGCAAAAGACAGCGACAGAGGAGTCCTAACACTGGAGGCAGTCGGTCCTGACGAATTTTAAATTATCTGTGGGAGCAAGAAAGCCCCTCATTTCAGGTGTAGCTTACCTAAAAAATGCCTATCAATAAATACCTCTTTCCCTTTTTAAGTAATCTACACCAACACGGGGCTCGAACTCATGACCCTGAGATCGAGTCACATACTCTCCTGACTGAGCCAGCCGGGTGCCCCTAAGATGCCTAACTATGCCTTTGAAATTGTTCAACGTCTGGCCTTGGTCCGCTGTGTTTCTACCTGCCCAGGACGTTTTCTGTGAGCACTTTTCTCCTGACTTTTTATGAAGGTTTCCAACTACTCTGGCAGAGCACAGCCAAGGCCTTCTGCTGGGCTTTCGAGGTCTCCAGCACCCGGCCTGAGCTCATACAACCCTAGAAAAAAATCTGGTTCTAGCCCACTCCCCTCATCTCAGAGGGGAAAAACTGAGGCCCTGGGTTACACAGTAACAGGTCCACCCAGCCCTCCCCAACGAACGCAAATCCCCTCTCTCCAGAGAAGAAACATTTACTGGGGTAGAGCTAGGTCCACATCTCTGACAACCACCTTTGGTCCCAAAGTGTTGTCCTGTTCACCAGTGACCACCCAGCACCCAACACTGTCACTGACGTGGACAGAAATGGTGCTGAATAAATTTACGAAACAGATTGAAAACAGCGTCCCTGTCCTCAGGAAGGCCACAGTCTGGCAGGGGACAGAGGTGAGCACAGGGGGTCTGAGGATGCAAAGCTTAAACCACCAGCTCCACCGGCGGCTGGAGGCTGTGAAGGCAGGCACGGGAAGGAGTTTCTGCCAGAAATAACTCTTGCAGTTATGTCTTCAAAGCTGAGGAGGGCTTGGCGTGGGAGGGTGGTGGGGTGGGGGTAATGCAGATTATCCCTCATCTATAAAATGAGAAAACTAAGGTCCAGAAGACTCGGGGATTGCCCAAGACAGAGCAGCACAGCTGGAGTCTGGACACAAAGCAAGCACCCTCCCCTTGCCCATTCCCCACTCCTACCTGCTGGACACATTCTGGGCTCTTCTGGCTGTGGAGCAGCCAAAGCAGCCTTGGGCCAGACTCTACCTCACTTCGTGCTCATGAAAACCCTCCAGTAAGGTAGAGATGAAGAGCAGGAGGACCTCAAGTCACGAGGTCAAGCTGACTAAGGTCTCCTCCTCCAAAGCAGCTCTCTGGGGGGCGTGGGGGGTGTGGGGGGTAGCGCCTGCTCCCTCCTCCTGCAGTGGTCCTCGCTCTCCACACCAAGCTCCTGTGCTGCTTCTGCCAGGGAAACAGCCGACAGCCCCCTCCTTCCTCATCTAAAGCCTCAGGCAGGCAACAGGAACATCAAAAAAATAATGAAGTAAATGTAAATTGTTGGGGCTGGTGGTGGTGGCGGGGCGGGGGGTGCAGAGCCACAGGAAACGCAATGATCACTTATCACATATGACCATACAAACAAGAGACAGCTCACACAATTTCATCCTGCTGACAACCCATACATCTGCCACGGTGAACACAGCCTCCACTCCAGCCTCAACTACGCCAAGAATTCTGTCTCCATCCAAAGCTGCAGAATGGGGCTTCGGCAGAAGGTGGCCGTATTCCATCTCCCCACGGATCCGGCCTGCTCTGATAAACCCTCTAAAGCCTGTCAAAGGACAGGGATAAAGATTTTCACGGTGACCTGCACATTTATTTCAGTTTGGTTTTTTATTCACAGCAAACTTCGCCACTGGCAGAGATGGGATGGGCCCCAGAGAGCAAAAAAGAACACTTTGATTTTTAATGAGCATCGGCCAACTTACGGCGCAAATACTCATCAGAATCAGGAGTCACATTCAGGTGTGCTTAATGCCTAGGGGCCACCAGGCAGTTCCATTTGTCCCTCCATCTGGTGCGCAGCAGGTGCAACCGTCCCACCCTCCGAGAAGCAGGAGGAGCTGGGATCCGCCGCTGAAGAGGTCCTCTGCCACCCTCCTCCAGGTCAGGAAGCAGCTCTAAGCATGACAGCACATGGTCCTCCTGATTAAAAGGCCTCAAATGGTTAGAACTATGATGAGAAAAACAAAACAAAACAAAACAAAAATTTCCCGAGGGAAAAACAATGCCCCAGGCTTTGCTACCCTTCTAGTCCAGCCACCTTGGGCCCAGTGTCCTCCTCTGGAGAGGTCAGGGGGAGGCCATGAGGCTCAGCTAGGGCATCCACCAAGCCTCCTGGGCCTCTGGTGGCAAAGAAAAGGCACCAATTCCTCTGATCAAGGGCCAGAGTGCCCTCTGCCCTGCCAGACACAAGCTGGCAAAGGAATTTCAAACAACCGAGAATCCAGGGCTGCAGACCTAGGCAGGGGTTTTCTCTAACGGGCTCAACTTGCAAAGACATCTGTTAGCACTCTCTTTGAAATGTTTAGGCCTTAAGAAGAAGGAAAAAGGTAATAAAACATTTCTTACAGTCAGAAAAATATATAAAGCCCGTATAATTGGAACGGCTGCCTGCCACTTTCTGAAAGCTATCATAGACCAGAGCGGCTTTCAGGATGGGCACACGGTGAGAATGGGGAGATGTGGGGAGAAGAAACTCCCGACAAGACAAAGGACACCAAAGGCGCCTCCACGAAACCATTTTCTAGGCCAACCAGGTGATGCACACCTCACCGGGAGACTCTGGAGATGGACACCGTCAATTCCGGCCGTGAGAGAAGCTGGTGACACGGGAGCAGGCGGCAGGACCCCAGCCCCAGCTGCATGCACTTGAGGCTCTCCCAGGCGGCCCCAACTGAAGACAGGGACGTGGGTGGCTGCCGCACTTGTCCATGTGGGCCTCAGACCTTGCTCTTCCCATTTTAAAACTTCTCCCCTGTCCCAACCTCAGGACTGGGCTGTCAACACCTAAACATCTCCTCTCCCAGCAAACATCTGTCAGGCACGTCCTCCCAAAAGCCAGGCCTGAACACACTCCGCCCTCAAGCATCCACCCTGCGCTATTTCCAGAACCTAAATTTCGTTTTGTTTTTGCTTTTTTGAGCAGTGTGTGTGCCCTGCCTTCTGAACTTTCCTTCTCAACCTGCCAATTTTCTTCCCTTTCCAGCTGAGCCTGAAGTAACCAGCACAGGACCATGTGTTACCTCCTGGGCTCCTGACTCCAGCCGGGAAAGCTGTGGTCGGCTCCCAAACACCCAATCATTTATAAGGAGCTTCCGCTCAGATATGGGGAAGGTGGAGGGGGCTGCCAAATCACGGGAAAAATAAACTTTGTTAAAGGTTTAAGACCAAGGGGTACCTGGATGGTTTAGTAGGTTAAGTGTCTGCCTTCTTCTCGGGTCATGATCCCAGCATCCTGGGATCAAGCTCCGCACTGGGCTCCCTGCGCCTCGGGAAGCCTGCTTCTCCCTCTCCCACTGCCCCCGCCTGCGTTTCCTCTCTCACTGTCAAATAAATCTATAAAATCTTTAAACGAACAAACAAACAAACAAAAGGTTTAAGACCAAGACAGCAAAAAAGAAAGGAAAAAAAAAAAAAAAGAAGGGGGGCTCATTTCCATAAATTACATACCAACAACTTGGGACAAATGCCATCAGGACTTCAGAACCAGAAACGCCTTAAGAAATGGAAGTTCCATCAGGGCACTGGGGTGGCTCAGTTGGTTAAGCATCCGACTCCTGATTTTGGCTCAGGTCATGATTTCGGGGTCATAAGATCACGCCCCACACCGGGCTCTGCACTGGGCGTGGAGCCTGCTTACGTACGATTCTCTCCACATCTCCCTCCCCCCATTTACCTGTGCCCGCTCTAATAAGAAATTTTAAAAATTAAAAAAAAATAAAAGAAATTGAGTTCTATCATCAGGAATTACGTAGAACTATTTCATTGTAAGTGATAAAGTTTGTACAATTCTGTTACAACTTTAAATATTTTCTGAATGGAGACAAGTTAGAATTTCTATTCAAAGCAACACATTCTTCTGCACAGGGGCCAGAGGACGTCCGTTTAGTTCCCTGGATGGTATGACCAGGGGCTCCCCCACAACCCCCCCAACTCCAGCCCCAGCCTGAAGAGCATGTTACAAAATTGTATTAATCATTCATTTTATTAAGAATCAAGGCTTCGGGGCACCTGGGTGGCTTAATGGGTTAAGCCTCTGCCTTCGGCTTAGGTCATGATCAGATCGAGCCCCGAATCTGGCTCTCTGCTCAGCAGGGAGCCTGCTTCCCCGTCTCTTTCTGCCTGCCTCTTTGCCTACCTGTGATCTCTGTCAAATAAATAAAATCTTAAAAAAAAAAAACAAAAACTAAAAAAGAATCAAGGCTTCTAATGCACATGATGACCACCAGTAACCTCGCTGAATTGATAAAATTTAAAAAACGGCAACAAAACTGAACGTTTCAGCTGGCTTGGGGAACTCTCACCATGGGCGATGCACATTACTGTCAGGCCTTCCAAAAGACCCTTGGGAGCTCTGGATCAAAAGCCACAGTCGCTTTAGTATAGAAGGAAACGCTCATTTTTCTACAGTCAGGCCCCAGTACTAGAAAAGTTTAAGCCGAAGAAATATTTCATTTCTGTTCTAGAAATGGAATCTGCTGCCTCTGCCTATGCAACATCCATATCCCCTTGTCTCAGAAAGATCCTTGGTCTTCCA